CAGACAATAAATCGAATGTATAAATAAATAAATATAAATAAAATAATGAGATAATGTATTTCTTCTTTACTACTCCTTCCTTAAGTGATATTGCCTCAGATTTTAGCTTGCTTTATTTCAGTCGTTTTAAAATTTAGGTTTTTGAGATTTGCTAAGTGGATTGAGAGCAATGTCAAGACTGGTCTTCAGGCAAGATATATTAATTAATTTTGAACGAGTGCATCTACTTGTATATGTAGTGATCACAATGTTGACTGGGAGTGGGGAAGCTCACAAGATGAATGGGCTTGTCACTCTCTTTCAACCTCATCTACTTCACAGAATAGTTAAGCAAAAATTTGAGGGTTTTATATATAAATCACCTGAAGGAAAGGTGAGATATAAATCTAACAAATGGTAATAACTGATGTCTATGTCAAATCATTCCATTCCAATGCTACTGGAATATCATACCAAAGTGGCTCTAAAGCTTCCATTATCCTACCCAGTGCTAGCAAAAAGTTCCCCGGGTGTATTTCTGCACCATCAGGTATGTTCTCCATCTACCTCAGTTGCTACATAATTCCAATAATCATTTGTTGATCTTCTGGCCTGAAGGATCCAAAGCACTCTCTAAAATAAATAATTTTCAGGGTTCTTCTATAACTGTTTGTCCATAAGATGCTCCATGTCCAAATCTGCCTAATTATATTCAGCCGCTTTTAGTATATTCTCTATCCATATGGTTTCTAAGAATCAATGGCACATAATCAATCAATCAAAACTTTTCAGTAGGTGTACACTGTAAAAATGGGGCTTCTGTAGTCTCTTTGTTCTTGTATCTCATAATCAGCCCTCCCCAAGATCTGTTCAAAAAAAGATGGGCAAATCCACTCCACTGGATACCATTCAACTAGCAGATGGATGGATACAACTGGATGGTGCGGTATGTACCTAATCGAGGGTTTGTATATGCATACATATGCATACATAAACACATATAACCTAACAAGCAAGAAAGCAGATATCTTTAATCAGGAATCACATGTCAATTATCCTGATCATAATTTCTTCTTTTGTTAGATTTATTAAATATTTCTCCTCCCTGGAATATTCTGTATTTACTAATTCTTTCTCAAGGCTCATCTAGGAATCTTAACTTTTACTTGCTGGGTACCTGTTACCACAACACTTGTTAAATTATTGTGCTACCATTTTAACCAATCAGTTCCAGTTATTTGTAGGCTTAATCATTAGTTACCATTTTCTTTGTTCAACTTATCCTTCAGTAGCATGATCTCTCCCCATGTGCCTGCATGATTTTATAGACTACAGAGGGAATACAAATTAATAATTTTACGGCTATGATGTCTCACACAATTTTTGGTTGACACATTCTCCATCTCTAAGTGATCAACCTATTACTCTTCCAAATATGGAACTACATAAAGACCAAAAAATGTCTTATCTGTACCTGTAATTTTTGAAATGATCTGTGCAGTCTTTTAAGTATAGCATCTGAAAAGTGAATGTTAATCTTGCTGTTTAATGTTATTATGCTTAGGGTCTCTACAAGAGTAGGGGCTGCTGAAGATTCTACGCTGGTACAGATCTGGTGCTATATGACTCAAATATCATATAATTAGTTATAGAAAAACAACTTCCCTTCATGAAGATGAAGTACTAGCCATTTTATAAGGAATGCTTTTAATGGGAAAAGGGAAAAAGCCATTTTATAAGAAATGCTTTATAGGGAAAATATGGCAATGTAGGTAATAAAAAGAAACTATTTTAATTTTATTTTAGTTTAAACTTACCTGACCATGGGTATCACCAGCTGACTTCCCAGCCTCAAATTTTAAAGCAAGTCCAAAATCAGCAATACATGCTGTAAGATTACTTTTCAATAATACATTCTTGCTCTTGATGTCCCTTTAAAAAATTAAGTACAAAATTTAAAACTGTCATATTTAAAAGTGATCAGAATAATATTTGGATGTGTTTAACCAACAGATATAATTTATTCTTTGATTATAGCTGGGGGATGTGAAGGAATTTTGGCTTGGTGACTGGACATAGCTACTATTTATAATTAACAATTATATTACCATTCACAGCAATATAGAGAACATAGAGAATGCTTTGGAAATGGAGGAAAAGGTGCAAAAGATTGATAGGTAAGTTGCACTTCTAGTGCTGCCTCTTATAAAATCCCAGTATGATGCAAAATACCCTTCTCTACCATGCTCTGTGGAGGATGAAACATGAGTATAAAAGTGATTTCTCTATTGTGATTTGGATTTTTGTATGAGGTGGCTGCTGCATCTAGCAGAACCATCATTGTTCTCTTCTTGACATGAATGAAGTAACAGATAATTTTTGCAGATCACAGAGTGTTGCTGGTGTTCTTTGCAAAACCCAAACTTTCAGGAGAAAATAATCTGTTTGTTTCTTCTCCACAGAATGACAAAAAAGAGGGGTGCCTTCTTTCCTACAGCCACACAATGTACAGGAAAGAACTGTCACTGCTGGGTAAATGAATGATATAGGACCCTAACTGCAAGGTACATCACACAGATAAAGCAAGTGGCCTATTGAAGTGCCATATATAACTATAAACCAATAAGTAAATCCTGCACTTCATGCCACTGTATAATTAAAACAACACTTTCCTTGATCCAGGTAAAGGGGGAATAAAAACAAAGGAATACAGTAGATGTATTTCAAACAGAGATGTGATTGTCGATTTTGCTTCACAACCTGCAGAAATTGAGGTGAGACCAGAAAAACTTGAAAGGGAAAATGCTTTAACAAATAGAGAATAAGCGTTATAACCCTTCAATCCCACAAGTATCTGTGTGAATGACATCTGAATAGCAGTCCATCAAAATTAGTATTGGTTTGTAACGTGTCACTTCTTTGCTTCTATAATGAAAACTGTATTACAAATTAATTTTGCATTCTGAACACTGATTACTTTTCTTACTTTTACAAAATGGGTTGCGTCCAAACTTAATAGCAGAGGTCTGATTTTGACAAGGCAGAAATGAGTGCTCCCAACTTCTCTACCTTGCAAGTACCTAAAAGACTGCTTTGGAGGACAGGAAAAAACTCAGAAAGAGCATGAGATGACCACTGTACCTGGGAAAGCAACCAGAACTATAGCCACAGCCCTTTTCCCTTAGATTCCAGCTTCCTCTGCTCTTCAGCAGTTGTGAATCAACTGGACTAGGATACATTATAATGGCTCATCAAGGAGGAATCCAACCAATTTTAAGCCTCCTATTACAATTGTTAATTCTATGTTCTCTTTAAAGACCAGGTTTGCTTGTTTATTTGTTGAGAGAAAGAGAGAAATGTACCTGTGGGATATAGCTGGTTTATGGCCATCTTTTAGACCAGGGATATCTTCATGGAGATAAGCCAAACCTCTTGCCATAGTTTCAGATATGTGACATAGTTCATTCCATGAAACTACATTAGCCTTCAGGAAGTCAGTAAGTGAACCCTAAATAATAAAGTTTTTTAAAATTGCAGTTTATTCCCCTTAAAAACTTCAAAAACTCCCAAGAAGTTTAAATAGATCTGTATAACATATTTTCCAGGTAACACAAGCTTTTCTGGATTTACTACATACAGTGTCAAAACAGTGCCATATGAGTACTCAGGGTGCATGTACAAAATAGTTCTGACTTGATATGACCCTATTTCTATAACTTGCTATAGCAGGCTTCCTTCCATTTCCATCTTGTTCCATCTTATTTGCATGCAGTTCAGGTTCTGGATCCTCAGTTAAGGAATCCTCTTCTCCCACTAACTCCAGATCCACATATCCTTGGATATGTTTAAGAAGGAAATAAATCTACTAATTCAATAAAGGCATCTGACTTATGGAAGTGGTTGCAAGCAAATGCAGTAGATTAGTAGGGCTGATTCACTATAAATCATATGAGTAAAGTTAGATGATATGTAGGTTTAAGCTTTTACAATTGTATAGTATTATTTTCATTATGATAGTAAATATATTCTGTGTAAATTTAACTCTGTTTAGTTCTTATTTGTTAATTTTTATTCTGGTCGGACTGCACCCCAGTGGGGCCACATAATTTTTTTTGTTTCCAATATTATAAGTATATGATCACATATTGCATATAATAATTGTGATTTTAATTGAATTAGATTACAAAATAATTGTTAAATTTCCAATTGTGATATACACAATTATCCTGTACCTACTCTAAGTTAAATTTCATACTTACTATGATATGAGAAATTTATAACACATGCTTTGGGGAGAATATTCCACCTGCTATTCTAGAATCAGGGATATCCAAAATTCATTGAAATGTGATCTGAGCTTGGAGGAGAAGAATGAAGACACAGGGACAGGTTTCACACATCTCCAGTATCAATTAAAAAAGAATTCAAAGTAATGTTATCATTACCGTGATAGAAATAATTCAGTTGGCATCCTTTTAAACAAAGGTATGGGCAGACAGTGTTTGAGGAGTTAGGGGCTACAAGAAGTTACCCAGTGCTGTGCTGTCATAAGGGACAGGGGCAATTTTTTTCTGTGTCTTGATTTTTTCTTTTTTCTTTTAATTTTACAGGCAGACATAGAAGAGGAAGGCCTCTGGTAGGCAAATCACTCCCATCCCCACTCTGAAAAGAGGCCTAAAATTACTGTCTTGTGTTGAATTCTGTCCCCTCTAAAATTTAACATTGGTGTGAAAATTGACCATAAAAATGAGTCTACTGTACTAAAGTTCAAAAGCTTAAAAAGTACGCTCAAAATCTGCTTCCTTTAGAAAATATTCTATTTATACACGGTGAAAAGTTCTAACAGTTAAGAAAACTGTATTACATAAACTGATACAACTAAGGCAATCACCTTTTCATGAAACGCTGTTATTAGCCACAAATCAACATCAATATTAGTGCCTCGTTTCTCAGCACCAATAAACTGTAGTATATTTTCATGCTTCATTCCTGGTAAGCTGTATATTTCATATTCATTTTGCCATGACTCTTTATCCTAGAACAAAAATCACATTAATATATTTAAAATAAATATTAAACAACTTGTCTGCATGTTCAAAACTGTTTCAATTAATCAAAGCCATGCCTCATATGCTAAGCCTGAAACTTGCCTGAATACATGAGGTATTGAAAAAAATAAAAAGAGTAAGATGGGGATTATACAAATCCAAGTCTTGGCTTGGAAAATTCTCATTAACAGAAAACTCTTGCTTCTAACTATTTCCGATCTGTGCACAGATCAGCCCAATTTAGATAAATTCCTTAGATCAACAACTAATAATAATACTTGGCAAGCTAGTTCTCTGGAGTACTCTGGAATGAAGATAAGGATTTTTCCTGATTTGCTTCATCAAATAATCAAGTGTAACAATGAAGTGAGGTTAACAGTTCAATGAAGCTCATCTGGCAGCAAGACAGAATTAAATAAACAGCTGCTTTTTTTTTCTTTATCTGGTTATTTTTCCCCAGATTTTGGACTGTTCTTCGTGTTGTTGGTATAGATGGCACAGCATTCATAAGCAGAAATAGCAGTGTGTTTAAATAAGAATTATAATTATTTACTTTCTGCAGTTTGACTCCTTTGTTTTATAAGTTTTGTTTTTATTTTTTCAAATTTTGGGATTTTATCTGAAAGTTTTAAAATGTATTTATTCCTACATTACTATAAGAGTTTTTTCTTTTGAATTTTTAAAACAGCCAGCCTCAGTTTATTGAATATAGTTTTTATTTTCATTATTATGGACTATTAAGTCTTCTTTTTTAAAAAAAGATACATGAAGGTTTTGTATTTATATCATTTTTAACCAGTTAGTGAAAAGTTAAAGACTTGAGATTACCATCTTCAGAAGAAGGCATCTGGGTAATCTAAAATCTAAAGCATTTTATTGCCAAACACATTGTTACTGACAAGGAGGATTTTTTTTATTAAGGAGATGGATTAGTCATATATGTATCAAAAATGGCTGGAAGGGTAGAAATTTTGATTAACAGGTCTTCAAATTTGGTTGTGGCACAAAAGTATGTGATATTGAAGGATTTTTAAAAAATATTTTGTGATTATATGTTTGAACAATCAGATAGCTTTTTATTGACTGCCACAAAATTACTAAGAGAGAATCCAGAATCCCTGCACAGATGCTTGGTTCATCCTTTTACTTTAAAGATAGCCTATATAATCATACTGGTGATTTTAATCAAATTTTGGATTCTTTAGCACTATTTCAAATAAATTTTGATGACACACATGAAAAATATTCCAGGACTATTTACTGAAATCTAATTTAATGGACATCTGGTAATATTTGAACCTACTGCCACAACAGAATATTTTTTTTCAACTTGTTGAACCTGTTCTCTATTTTTTAATATCTTGATACTCAGTCAATCAACGTAGATAAATGTAACATTAGTTCTATTATTATACCTGGTTGTGCCCCTGTTGCACTATTATTTAGCTTTAGGAAAATTTGTATTAAATAATTTACATTTTGTGTATTGTCGAAGGCTTTCACGGCCGGCATACAATGGCTGGTGTGGGTCTTCCGGG